ATTACTCACATCAAAGAGAACACATCAAAGAGTACAAAGGAAATTGCCTGACAAAAAAGCATGCATTAGTTAAAGGAGCATGGTGCGATTTAAGGGATGATTTTTGTGCCAAATTAAAAAAAATATCACCACCAGTTCAACGAATGATTTTAACAGAATATGTCAACTGCGAACTGATGATTAAGTATTCTTTTCACACGGTGCATACGCCAACCTTTAAGTCTGTACCGATTCAAAAATTTAATTATCTCTTATATCCACATTTTTTTAAATCCCGAGTTTTATCGTAAATAAAATTAATAGAATCCCTTGTAACCTACTGGTAATACATGATGTATATTGTAGGGGGTGGGGGTGTGCTATTCATCGTAGCCCGTTCGTAATTTAACCATGATAACGGCACCTCTTTTGTGTGAAAATCCAGATTGGTCGCGTCCCAATTGTAATTGTTCTTTAATAATGAGGTCAACTATTTTGGATAATGATTACTTACTGACAATTCAGAATAAAAGTATTGTTTACAAGAATACGACATGGTAACAATTTGTTGTTAAAGGGGCTTCTATTTTAGTCAATTATCATTTCCTTTTGATGACACGTGTGAATTCACGTAATTAATAAGGAATCTTGACCGACAGTATGCATCGACTCACTCTTTGGTGCCGAAATGAAAAGGCCATCAAGGTATTATCCCATTGATACGTGTTAATGTACATGTGTTCAGAAAGGTTGACGGTGACTTCTGGCTATGTGTGCTTGAAAACAGGAGATGAAGGCATTTAATTCATTTGTGATTTAAACCCGAAGATATATTACTTCAGGTGTGATTTATCAATTTAAAATGCATTGTGTGACTTATTTGTCAGAATGGAAATGACTATTTCAATGGACAAAACTTTCGCCCAGGTAAGACCAGCATCTATTTGTGTAAATTTGGAAATTTTCGTAATTTGAATGAGTTTGAAATAGTCGATCGATGCAAGTCTTAAAAATGTCGAACACATTGATGAAGTAATGTATCGGTACAGCCATAATTCTGTTTATTTTATTATTTAAAAGCCTGCCAATGTTTGATATTTGTTATATTTTCAATATAAGCCTGTAGAATCTGCGTGTCTAATCGTGTTAAATTAACAATCTTTTTATAAGCCCACATTTTCATGTGGACGTATTATGCCGTCGCCCCTGTCCGTCCGTCCACAATTGTTTGTGGACTCTCTACAGGTCACAATTCTTATCTGATTTCGACGAAACTTGAAATATAGGTTTATCCCCAAAAGATCTCGGCTGCTTTCGATATTGGCATGTATCGGATCGAAACTTCATGGATTATGGCCCCTGTTTGTACGAAAAATCATGTTTTTAGCTTGTGGACCCTATAGAGGTCACAATTTTTATCCGATTTTGTTGAAACTTGAAATGTAAGTTTATAACCCAAAGATCTCAGTTCCTTTCGATATTTGCGCATATCGGACAGTAACTTCCTGAATTATAAGTTCCAGTTCGAAAAATTATTCACAATTGGAGAAAGAGGCGTTGTCAAGCGTATTTGGTGTCAAGAAGTTTCACCAGTATTTGTATGGACGAACTTTTATTGTTGAGACTGATCATAAACCATTGACAACAATCCTAGGGCCACATGCGGCAGTACCAACACTGGCAGCTGCACGACTCCAGAGATGTGCATTGATTCTGTCTGCCTATAACTATGAAATAGTATACCGATGTTCTGAAGATCACTGCAATGCTGATGCGATTTCAAGATGTCTAGTTAACGAGTCCGGCACATCCGAAGAAGCAGATATTTACTATTTTACATATTTAAATGAACTCGACAGTCAGAAAAATTGCTGAATCAACTCTAAATGATCCTGTTCTATCTCTTGTCTTCCAGTATACATTAAATACTGTAAACCAGCCAAATCTGGAGCCTTATTTCAACTGGAAGGATGAGTAGAGTACAGATCAAGGTTGTTTACTTCGGGGTATGAGAGTCATTATACCTGTAAAATTCTGTGAAAGTTTACTTAATGACTTACATGAAGTCACTAGTGAGAAGCTACATATGGTGGCCTTCAATCGATCAAGATATAGAAGATAAAGTGTGCAGCTGTGGAATTTGTTTAGCACCCAAAAATCACCACCAGCCTCACCATTGATACCTAGGAAATGGCCCAAACGTATGTGGCAACGATGTCACATCGATTTAGCTGAATTTCAGAGACATTTCTTAATGGTTATTGTATAGCTTTCCAAGTGGCTTGAAGTATTTCATATGAACACTACAACATCCCATAAAACCATCGAAACTTTTAAGAACATTATTGGCATCTTATGGTCTTCCAGAGGATGTGGTATCAGATAACGGTCCTCAGTTCATCAGTTATGAATTCAAGGATTTTTTAAAGTAAGAATGGAGTAAGTCAAATTTTAACTCCACCATATCATCCTGCATCAAATGGAGCTCCGGAAAGATCAGTACAAACCTTTAAACAAGGTTTACGGAGACAAGTTATGGAAGGTCATACCAACCAAACTTGGTGACTTTTTATTAACATGCAGAATTAGGTTTACAAACCTTTTTTGTTCGAACCGGGGGTAAAATTTGTTATTGTCACATTGATCATTTGTTACCTGCCTAATATTTCAAATACTGCATGTACTTCATCAACTACAAGTACTCAAGCAGCAAGTATTGGTACTCCAATATCACCCATCAAGCCAGTTGATACCAAACAAGGTTACCCACAGAGAATTCGAAAACCACCAGGGAAGTTAACTATGTGAACTATTTGTGTGAACTCTTAAATAATTAACGTTTATTTTGTTTTGTTCCCTCAAATAGACATATTAGTTTATGTGAACAGTACAACTTTTTAAAGGGGGAAGGGATGTAGTATTTATGATTACGTTTCATATTATTATTATTACGTTATGTATGACGTCATACCAGTAGAATGATTTATTCACTTTGTATGTATCAATATACTACATGCACCTTACTTTTGGATCTCAGTGCTGCCTTTGATACTATAGATCATAGTGCAGTTCGTCTCAAATTTTTGGGACCAAAATTGTGCGAACACCGCAGGAAAAACACAAAGAAATCGCTAAGATTTTATTTTGAATTATCTTGCTCAATTTCCCCTCAATTTTCCGCTAAGATTTGCAAGCCTTTCATCAAGTGTTGTTATTTCTTGAAGTATTACAAAATGTTCACATTTAAGGATGGCCCAAAATTTTTGTGCTGGACTTTATTCACACTAGGAAATAGATGAGTTTTTTTGAAGCATGTCACTTTTTTCTGTTTTCCGATAGCTGTGAAGGTCTTTTTATTTACATCATTTGTAAGTTCTACTTTCATATGTATCGACTTATTCCCCCCAAAATAGTTAATTTTGGAGTAATATTACTGGCGTGAATTTGAAACACTTATGAGTTGGCAGTGCTTTCATTCTATCGTATTAAATAAAAACACATAATTTTGTAGTAATATTACTGACATAAAATTGAATACCATATGGAAATTAAATATGAAAAATAACGTGGTGCACCTATTTTGATACGCCCACATTGAAATGTGGTCATATATTGTTATTGCCCCCGTCCACAAGATAATTACTGCCAGAGTTATGGCCCTTGATCACTTCAAAATATCTTCTGGACGCTCTTGAGGTCAAAGTTAATATCCGATTGACTTAAATTTATTCACAGTGTTTAAGGTTATGAGACGACGAAGCCTATTGATTTTCACCAATTTCCGATAATTACTGCCAGAGTTATGGCCCTTGATAACTTTGAAAAATCTTGTGGACACTTTAGAGGCTAAAGTTAATATCCGATTTATTTTAAGTTTATACACAGTGTTCATGAAACGAAGAAGCCTAGTGATTTTCAATGATTTCTGATAATTACCGCCAGAGTTGTGTCCCTTGATCACTTTGAAAAATCTTGTGTGCACTCTAGTGGCTAAAGTTAATATCCGATTGACTTTGAATTTATACACAGTGTTTAAGGGTTATGAGACAAAGAATCCCTCTGATTTTCAAGGATTTCCGATAATTGCTGCCATAGTTATGGCCCTTGATCACTTTGAAAAATCATGTGGATGCTTGCACTGTAAATCTGGTACCGTTTAACCTTGCGTAAACATACTGTGAAATATTATTTGTCAGGATTCATACGACGGCAGGTATCTGTAATGCCTGTCATTATCCGGGGATTATTTTTCAAGATCACTACCGTAAAACAGATGTTGGATTTTTAATGGCGACGGGACGGTTCCGAAGCAAAGCTTTCTTGAGATGCACATAGCGTTTTGTCCACAATCATAAAAAGTGTATCTATATATCCATTTAAAACAGTATTTCCCACACTGACAACACATCCACGAATGATAAATCTCACGCATCTGATTTACGTGTGTACACGTCGACTCCCTACCCTGATTAAATCTTTTGTTTAAATGTCTTCGCAATTAAGACTAACAGCATGGATATTGCACCAATCATATATTACATGATATGTGATCTATAGAAAGCATTTTGGGTTGAAGGGTAGTGCGATTATCTGGGGCAATAAACACAGAACGCTTGTAGAATTAATACACAAGTAACAGAAGCTAACAATATGTCTATTGTGTAAGACAAAACGTGAAAATAAACCAACTATTATGGCCTCTATCTAAAAGTCGAGTCTTGTATTATGTCTAAATAGTCACACACTCGGTAGCTAAAATAAAAGAGCCAAGCAAGAGAGAAAGGTTTGTTCACAAATTGAATAATATTTTAAAGGTATTTGCCGAGTCTTTTTGAAAAGATATCGGCTATGCAAGTATCAGCAATAGGCTACTTATCCACCAATTTCTGATGGTGAAACCGATAATCGGAACATCAAGTCATATATCACTCAAAAGAAATCTCTTGGCCATCATGAGAAGGAAAAAAATATGGTACGATGGCCTGCATTAATTGTTAAATGTCTTAATTTAATTAATTTAGAGGGTGATATAGTTTCATTGAAAGCTAACCTGACAGAGTTTACATCAAAGGACGATACATACTTTGTGTGTGATGCAGTGAAGAACGTAACATTCCAAGACACCGAAACATATGTGGAATTACAGAACTTCCGGGTTCAAGCTTTTAACCTGAACCAAACATTCACTGGAGAAGGTAAGGCCAAGATTTGATATTGATATTATCGTCGCTCCTGTCAGTCAGTTCGGAATTTGTATGTAGTCCAGACGCCAAAGTGTATTATTCTCTTCGACCTATTAGCTAATTAATTATGAGCGAAGTACTAATTAACCGAATTACTCAGAAAGTATACAGTTTTGACCTAACAAGTCCATTACAAAATTTATAGATAAGTCCCCAAAGAATCAAAAAAAAAAACCCACCCTGAACACCCACAGCTGATCATTTGCAAAATGGCATCTGGTGCGACTTTTAACTCATTCGTCCTACTTTCGCCAGGCGTCGACCTAATTAACTACTGAATTTCACCGACAGTGACTGTGGTTGGCCTCTTTGATGTAATGTTTTATTGATCAAGAAATTTATCAAAAAAGGCCATTTGGCTTCCCAAAAGTAGTTATCCAATAAATACATGGTTTGAACTAATTACTGGAATCATAAAAAATTTGTAGGTCACATCAAAGGTTTAGGGGTTATAAAGGTCGTAAACTCGCGAGACAATTTGCCCATCATTGACTGCTGCCGGCCTTTTTGATATACTGTTTTACTGATCAATAAAGTTATAAAAAAGACGATCGGCTTTCCAAAAGTAGTTATCCAATAAGCGTATAGTTTGAACTAATGATTGAAATCATAAAACCTATATGTCACATCAATGGTTTAGGGATTATAAGGTCGTGAACTCGAGAAAATTTGTGTCATAAGGCGTCATTTTGTACATAAGTTTAATGTTTTCACGCTCATTCATCCAATAATTTCTTCGCCGTGGAAATTGATTCCGATTCAGAATTTGAAGGAATTTTATCAAAGGATATTTACATGTGAATATTAATCTCAGTAATGACATGTTTTGGGGAAAGTGATTTTTCCGAGATTTGAAACAGTGAAGAAGATATACGTTATATACGGCGTATCAAAAATGGCAGCCACTCTTCGTCGAATTGTAATATCCCAGCGCTCACTCTTTTAATAATTTCTTTGGTATGGAAAGTGATTCCTCATCAGAATTTGTTGGATTTTTATCAAAGGGTATTTTAGATGTGAATATTAATCTCAATAGTCTTCGGGAAAGTGTTTGTTCTGCTATTTTAAACGGAGAAGAAGATGACCGTGGTCGTCGAATACAATACCGACTTTGTTCAGCAAACTAAGTTAAATTCAGTGATTTTTTTTCAACATTTTTAGGACATTTTAATGAGGATAAAAATAGTTTGACTTTTTAATTTGTTCATTGTAGTAAATCATGCACATTTTGATCGTCAATTAGACGAATGCCTACGGCAGCATGCTATGGCCTGTTGTACAATGCGCGTGTGCTAAACATTGTTGATTTTAAATAAAGAATAACTTTGTTGTTACTTTGTATTAGTGCTTAAAAGTTAGACCATTTTGATGCCCAATTATTTGAATATAGGAACATTTTTTAACTGGAATAATACACTGTAACTCAGGTATCGTTTAATCTTGTGTATCTAGCACTAATTTCTTTCACATTCGTTTAATATCAAATCTTTGTTTAAAAATTCGTAAAAATCGTTTAAAATCACCAAAAATTGTCTAATTTTGTACATGTGTCCAGTTTAAAGCTGACTGATTAATTTTGATAATGAGTGTCCAATTTACAAGTATTTAATTTCCTGATCACTGTTCAAAAATTAATCATTATACATCATTAATCAATTGGGTTGTTTATTTTTTAACAATGATTGAGAAATTAAACACTTGTAAATTGGACACTTATCAAAATTGAATGGTCAGCTTTAAACTGGACAGAAGTACAAATTAAACGATTTATGGTGATTTTAAACAGTTTTTACAAATTTTTAAACAAAGATTTGATATTAAACGAATGTGAAAGAAATTAGTGCTAGATACACAAGATTAAACGATACCTGGGTAACTGTGATAGTTTGTGTGTTATTTTGTGTTCTCTGCAGTATATTAAATTAATGGATAATCCTTTAATTAGCTCCAGGGAGATAAGCTATTGGAGAGACAGGAGTAGATAATTAATTAAGTCTAGGGGTCAATGAGGTAACATAATTTTTATACGCCCACATTTTCATGTGGACGTATATTGTCGTCGTCCCTGTAAATAGTGGATTAATTACTGAATTTATACATGTGTGTTGACAAAATATATAAAAAAAAAAAATGTAATGATGAAGGTTTCCTCTTTTCGGATGACTTGTGAAATCTTTTTTAAATGTTACTGTGGCTAGAGGTACATGTAAAATTGTTTGGTGTTTGTAAGACTAAAGTTTTACTTTGCCGATCATTGTGTTAATATTTCAGGAAGACATTGTTCTGACGATATGACCAGTACAGCGGTGCCGTCAACTAGCCCAACTACACCTAATCCTGATAATACCCCATCACAGAATAACTACACTTTCACTGGTAACTGTATCTTGATTAGAACTGGTTTAATTCTAACTTTACCATATGAGGCAAATGATCAGGTAACAAAATTACATTAAAGATTGTTAATGGACATTGCAAAGGTGATATTTGTACATTTAGGGTAAAGATTTCTTACTACTTGGGTAAATTTGTACGAATATCGATAAAATTCTAATTATCGCAACAAATCGAATACAAAGAGGCTAAAATCTGTAGATACTAGATGTTAGATAACAGGGGTGAGAAATTCACTGAAAGGTGATTTAATTACCGCTATCTCTGCGATTGTGCTTTTCTGTACTGGGCATGGCTCGAAATGTTCGCCTGTCTACTTGTCGCCGACAGGCGATTTTTTCGTCTGACAGGTAGCAAATAAAACTACCTGTCGCTTGCGACAGTTGGACTAAATTTCACTTGATGTTCAGTAAATTGACCACAATACTCACGTCCACGTCACGTACATTTAATTATTTGTTTCTAAATGCAAGAATTAAGCACAGAAATACAGCGAAAAGCAGCCATTTACACTGTTTACATTTCGCTCTGTCGTAGGCTACAGTTACTCACACAGTTTGGAAGAAGACAATTTTATATCAATGAATTTCACACCATCTACGCTTGTTTTCATCTGCTTGACACTAGTTTATAGCATTATGGAGTATTATATCTAAATAAATTAAAACGCACCCCCCAAGTCACCTGAAATAATTCTACTGTAACGACACCACAGTAAATATAGTAGTGGTTGGAATGGAAATGCACACGGCTCGTTGCTTGGTGTATTTCGGGTAGACTAATCACCGGAATTCATTTACAATCACCGGAATTCATTTACAAACACCGGAATTCACTTCTAAAATCCCCAATTCCTCCCACAAAACTCACTTATTTTAAATGTATAATACATTTTGATCTCCCCACGGGCCAGATAAAGGCGCTGTAGGTGAATTTATTTGAAAGACTACCGGAATTCATTTCAAATATATGCATCATGATTATGATAACGTAGGGCATGTCGTATTACCCAATAGACCGAACTCCAAAATAACACATAATAACAATTTGCGTCGAATTACCCAATAACTCCAAAATAACAGCCAATAACCCCAAAAATGTTGACTGTGGAAATACAATATAACAATTTAGTTGAATTTAAGAAGCCTCGCTGATTTGTGCCCAAATCGGAGGTTCACTGGAGATAACTCGTGTATGTGATTTTTGTTGACAAGAAACTAATGTATACTTTCGTTGCAATTCGTTGTAATGTATTATAATGAAAGATTGATAATAGTTTATTAAAATAAACAATTTAATATTATAGCTATATTTATTTATTTATAATTGCAAATTGCGCCGATTGTCACTTTCGGTCATCGACATCGTAACTTGTTTAGAAATAAATAAATGCTCATTCTCATGACAATTAACTTGTGAACATTCTATATGCCTACTATTGGCATATTATTAAAATTACACTTCATTTAATCTGGACTGCTTCATGCTACAACGGATTATCTATAAAAACATCCAAACCATTATTGATGAGACTTTATAATTATTTGATTGGCTGATTATTACTAAGTTAATTTTCGAATAAACTTAGCTCTTCTACATTCGAGAAATGTTCGGTTTGACATTTTACATGGATTACTGCTGTGTTTTTATTGTGTTTCCCTGAGTTGACCATCTGGAAATATCGTTTTACAGCAGATACATTCTAGTATTAATATCAATGCAAAATATAAGTAAATACAATTGTCTTGGGGCGAATTCCGATTTTCTCAAAGTGAATTCCGGTGTTTTAAAGTAATTTTTTATTAAAGATGCATTATGGGAGATAAGATAACAAGATGGCAGTTCTCGCTATAATAGTTTAAAACTAGATAGTGTAAAGGTAATTTGCTGAAAATTTCAGTCAAATTGATCCACTATGAGCCGAGAAAGAAGCGGGTGAAATTATGGCATAATCTCGGTCATCATTACTAAAATCATTAATATAAACAGCTTAGTCTCGATTATCCACTTTTGTTGATTTAATTATCAACGGCCGTTAGCGGCATATAAAAAATCCAATCCAGCCAACATCGAAGGCTAGCCTTGACATCGAGAGTTTATTATGGTCTGGATAAGTTAATTAATGTCTAATTGATAATTTAGATAACATTTCAGGCCTAAAGAAAGACTTGTAATAAGCAGATTTTGCTCTTGCATAATGTATGTTTAATGTAAAATCTGTGTAAAATATAAGTAAATACGAAGGTCTAAAGTGCGAATTCAGATATGTTGAAAGTGTTTATATGTTTTCTATGTGAATTCTGGTGTTTATGTGTTTTCAATGTGAATTCCGGTGATTTTATGTGTTTTAAAGTAATTCAATATTAATATTAATGGAAAATAGTCAATATTTTTGAAGTTATTGGTTGTTATTTTGGAGTTATTGGGTAACTAGACGCAAATTGTTTTTTAGTGTTATTTTGGAGATCGGCCTCTTGGGTAATACGACACGCCCTACGTTATCATAACCATGATGCATATATTTGAAATGAATTCCGGTAGTCTTTCAAATAAATACACACACAGGGCCTTTATTTGGCCTGTGGAGATATCAAAATAGTAATTTGTTACATTATAATGTATTATACATTTAAAATAAATTAGTTTTGTGGGAGGAATCGGGGGTTTTCAATGTGAATTCCGGTGATTATATGTGAATTCCGGTGATTGTAAATGAATTCCGGTGAATTACGGTGATTAGTTGGGCCCTATTTAATCATTTAAAAAGTTCTAAACAATTTCCATAAATAAAGGCTATCAATAATTTATAAGACAATTTGACAAAATCAAAAAATCAGGTCGGAAAAATATTTTAAATATAAATATAATTTGTAGCGTAAATATAGTCCGTATGTGAGAATGGAATTCCAGGTGGCGTTATCTGTCCTTCGCACGCGGTAGTTGTAAATAGGGTGCCATGCACAGGTGTGATTTGTGTTTTGATATTCAATTTATTACGGATATTTTAAAATCTGAATTCTACAACTCAACAGTGAAGTATTCGATTTAGTACGGAAGTGTGGTACCATGATACTTTGCGGAATGCACTTGGATAGGAATGATAGAATTGTACGAATCTTCGAGTGACTGAGCCAAAGCAGATTCGCCGACTTTCAAGAACTTTTAGGCAATCCGATGTCGAAGAAATAAAAAGGTAGCTTTTTTTTTAAACATTTCGAGGCCTGGTACTGGGTATGTTAATTAACGGACAATTAAAAACAACTAATTTACCCTGTGATTTCTTGTTCGACCATGTGTTTTACGCAGATCGGTCTTTGTTAAGTGTAGGTCTTTATACATGGATTTATACATGCTGTAGTTACATATGTGCGTTCTTATATGTATTCATTTCTTTATAAATACTACATGATTTTATACTTCGTACGATAGTCAGGCTGCAGTTATTTATATATTTGTCTTTTTTGTGGGTTTAATTTTATTTACATATTATCGTGCGTACCACTGAACCATAAATGCACATATCTTAAAATTGATTGCACACAGTATCTTTAATTACGGATATCCGGACCAACCTCAATTTGATTATCTGATATATTCTAATCTCCATTGATATCAGATTAACGAATCTGTTTCGAAATCAAGTTTATAAATATAAAATCGCGTAATTATTGAAAACCTATTAGTTTCGTCCCTGCTATATTTACTACACGTGGGTGTATTAATTTATGAATGTATCGTTTCTTTCCTGGGTTGTAAAAAGGACTATTCAAGAAAAAAGTGATTCCCACACTATATATAACAAATGATAATTCACATATACAAATAACACTAATGCAAATAGGGACCTGCTCTCACTTCCACCCACGGTGATATTGCCCATTCTCAAACATCTTCTGGTTCGATCGAACTCTGCGTAACAAGCTTGTCTTTGCATGCGAAATACCGACCTATGACCTAATATTAACAAAACGCGTTCATGTAGCCTTTTGTCGAACATCTTATGATTCAATCAAACATTGTGTAACAAGGTTGTCTTTGCATGCAAAATACCAACCTTTGACTTAATATGGATACAGGGGCTTTATAAGAACAGCTAAATTTAAACATTTTAACATTCCCTTTGTTTACGATTGTATGAAATAGCTTTATTATATTTCTCCACGGTACTAATAAACTACGAGTCAAGTGGATCCAATTTTTATACGCCCACATTGAAATGTGGTTGTATATTGTCGTCGGCCCCGCCTGTCCGGTGTCCACTATTACTAGTGGACACTCTAGAGGCTAAGTTAATTTCCGATTGACTTTAAATTTATACACAGTGTTTATGGTCATGAGGCGAAGAAACCTATTGATTTTCAGTGATTTCCGATAATTACTGCCAGAGTTATGGCCCTTGATCACTTTGAAAAATCTTGTGGACGCTCTAGAGGCTAAAGTTAATATCAGATTGACTTTAAATTTATACACAGTGTTTAAGGTAGACGAAGAATCCTATTGATTTGCAACGATATCCGATAATTACTGCCAGAGTTATGGTCCTTGATCACTTTGAAATATCTTGTGGACGCTCTAGACACTAAAATTATTATCTGATTGACTTTAGATTTATACACAGTATTTAAGGTCATGAGACGAAGTAGCCTATTGATTTTCAGCGATTTCAGATAATTACTGCCAGAGTAATGGCCCTTGATCACTTTGAAAAATCTTGTGGACACTTTAGAGGCTAAAGTCAATATCAGATTGACTTTAAATTTATACACAGTGTTTAAGGTCATGAGACGAAGAAGCCTATTGATTTTCAACGATTTCCGATAATTACTGTCAGAGTTATGGCCCTTGATCACTTTGAAAAATCTTGTGGACACTTTAGAGGCTAAAGTCAATATCCGATTGACTTTAAATTTATACAGTGTTTAAGGTCATGAGACGAAGAAGCCTATTGATTTTCAACGATTTCCAATAATTACTGTCAGAGTTATGGCCCTTGATCACTTTGAAAAATCTTGTGGATGCTCTAGAGGCTAAAGTTAATATACGA